AAAGGCCTTTTTTTTTTTTTTTTTTTTTTTTTTCTTTCCCCCTTCGTATTTTTCTTTGTGGCCATTAAACACGGTCTTGTCTTGCGGCCATAAATTTAGTTCAGACATTTCTTCACTTTTTGCAGAAAGGGAATGTATGAAAAATCTGACCTCAACCTTGCCTTTTCTGTTAATGGATCTAAAAGCTGCGATTGTGAGAGGCAGGAAAATGAAACCGTCTTTACATAGAAAGCAAATTACTTACCTGTGTTGTGTGGAAATAGTTTTAGATTTAAAAAAAAAAAAAAGAGTATTTTAATAAATAAGACCAGCGTGGTCAAATTTCAAACAACTTATAATTGATGCCCCCTCCCCCTGCCTGTTCCCCATGCTGCATGTGGGCTATTTTGTTGGCGGCTTAGGTTTTGTTGCAATCATTTTAAAGAAGTGATCTGTGAAGCCTTGATTTTTTTTTTTTTTTTTTTTAAAGTTCTTGCTGTCCCTTGCAATTTAACAATGCGCCGTTTGAGCTCTAACTCCGGGTTTATTTTCTTTCTTCCCCCCACCCCCCTGTACTCTAGAGGGCTTATAATGTACCTAGCTCACGGGAGAACTGCCTGGCGAAGAAAGGACCCCCGAAATTCTCATTTCATCTGCGGGGAAGGGAGAAACTTCCACGGGCTTTTCACAAGCATTTCAGCATTATTTAAAAAAAAAAAATTTTTTTTTTAAATAAACATTTGACAGTTTTTAAAGTTTAAAATTGCTTTAAATTTTTAATAGCTAAATTCTCCTTAGATGTGATTTAAAAAGCATATGTGATCATTAAAATAACGACTACTTCAGACCCCTATAAAGGATTAATAAGATCTAAAAGTACTTCAAATACACCGAGGCTTTTCGGCTGTGGAAGGGAGGCATTCCTTGGACGTTTGGGGAGTGAAATTCTTTTCACATTTCCTGATGTCCTTTCAGTTTCGTGGAAATCGGTACCTTCTTCTACCAGAAACTGTTAAACTCCAAACTCTAATATATCTTTAATTGCTCATAAAATTTTGCTGTAAGCGGCACAATAAATTCTTTAGGAAAAATGTTAATTTCCCAATTTATGATGACTCCATTTTAGAAACGGCAAGAATTGAGAGGCTAAAATAAATTCAGCAACCACTTCTCTTTGAAAGGTAATTCTGAGTTTTTAAAAAAATAACTGTACATTATGCTTTTTCCCTTCTTTCCTCATACAAAGTCTAGGTTTTGGCATTTGACGTGCGCATGCAGATATACCTGGGGCTATTGGCCTGTCCTCCTGTTTTTCTGATTTTTGTTGTTGCTACTTTGGAATGAAAATTTTAATTGCAATTCCTCACCCATAAGGGACATTTTTCTCGCTGGCACGTATGTATCGTATGTGGCATGCTCACGCATTTGTACGTGTGTATGATTGAACACACATTTATTGAGACTCCTAGTTGTTTTATGTTCTTTTATTTGAAAAATAATAATTAACTTCTTAGGAATGCTTTCAGGGTTGTTGGACTTTTTTATATACACACACAGGTCACACATCATGGAAAGGGAACGCGTGGACTTCCAAGGTGTGTTAACTACGATAAAACAGCTGCTCCCCGAAGGTTTCTAAACAGACGGGGGGTTGCCTGGGTGTGGAGTGGCCGCTGTCAGTCCGGAGAGCAGAGAACGTGCTGCTGATCGCTGTCAGCTGCGGGCAAATGAAGTCTGTTCTTTATATTTTTTAAAAACGAAAGGACATGGAGAAACGGTCGGCCAGCGTGCTGCATTTTATTGGGGTGCGGGGGGGTGCTGCCGATGCTGAGTCCCGCTCTGTGATTTATTTCTCAAACATGCCTGTCCCACGGCCAGAGTTTCATTTCTGTTGCTAGTTGTCACGCCAAGTTTGACATAAAACTGAGTGAACTAAAGCAAAAGATTTTGAAAATTGCTTCATTATGCCGGGAAGGAAAAGGCTCCTTTCTGCGGACCCTCGCTCACATCTCCTCGCTCGGCCTGAGACCCTGCAAATAAATGGCTTTACTCTGTTCACTGTTTTACTTCTAGCTAAACTAGCAGCGTTTCCTCTCCGCTTCCTCAACTATCTCCACAAGGAAAACAAAAAGCTGCTTACCCAAGGCGAATCGGCGCTGAGGGGCCCCCGCGGAAATAATCGAGGAGCCTTCGTCAAGTAGGACGCGTTACTGCAGGACGGCCCCTCCGAGTGGGACCCCAGGCCTGCAGCCACTCGGAGACAAAGACCAAAGAGCAAAATTCCTAAGCCCGTTTGCCTCTCTACACAGTACTCCAGGCTCCTTAGCCGCTGGCTCCTCAAAAGGACACAGGGGGGTCACCCGAGCAGCGGCGGCTCACCCAGAGGCCGCTGCAAACTCCCAATCTCAAGTTTACCCGGCCAGCTTTACAGCCAGCAGTATCCCGGGGGTGCTGTGCAGGTTCCACGTAAGTTTTCACTCACACACATCCTACCTACCGCCTGAATTAGATTAAATGCATCTGTCTGCTAAATCCGCGAATGCCTCGGACACAGGACATTTTAGACTGTGAATGTCCCTACGTTGGGAAAAGGGAAATTAAACTGAAGTGCCCCGGCTTTCTGAGGCCGGCCGCTGGCCGAGGGCTGAGCCCAGGACGCCGCGGCCCGGCGGCCGAGCAGGAAGTCGCCGCTGCATTCCCATTAGGCCGATCTTGGGAGAAATCAGGAAAAAATAACTGTATGAGGCCGATACTATAAACATCCTGGTCGAGTGCGAGCCTTCGCGTTTTTCAAATACCTGACCTCGGGCTCCGTGTGGCTCACAGGCGCAGACCAAGTTTTTCCCCAGGAAACCGTCCATCGTAACTCTCATCAACAAAGCAGGTAGTCTGGCTCTCCTTTTTGAGAATTGGAGCGCACTGTTTTATACCATGTACTGCGAATAATATAAACGGTAGCGAGTTAGGGAAAGGCTTTTAAAAAACCAACCCGAGTAACCCCCAATGGAATCACCCGACGGCTGTTGCTTTCTTTGAATACAGCGGAATTTGATTTCTGAATTTGCAGCCAAGTTATGTCCAGATCCATGTAAGAGGGGATTTTTAAAAAAGAGTGTGTGTTTTCGAATATTGCTCTGACTCACCCAGTCTCTCGTTTTACCAAATAAAAATTGGGAGGAAGAAAAAGGCATTAAATTAACTTATGACTGTGTAAGAGCAAGAAAAAAAAAATCAGCTAATCAAAAGGTTAGCTAGCGGTACGATTATACAATGATTTCAGGTGAAAATTACAAAGCTAATATCCTGGCATCCAGTCACTGCCTTCAGTAATGATACAGTTGTCAGATTTGTATTTGTACCCACGGAACAGAAGTTGTAAGTGGCATAATGGAAGATAATCTCCTTTTCTTTGTGGCTTTTTTTTTTTTAATTCAATGTTTTAATCCGCCCGTTTAATCACAAAACATATATCACATTAGTTATACTATTTCTAGTGTTTAGCAACGTGATTATAAATAGATTACAGTGCGGTTGTCGGATGCAGTGTGTGTGCGTGGACATATCTCAAAGCCACGCAGCATTTCTAGGCTCCGCATTTGGAAACAGTTTTACGTGAGAATAGTAACCGTATATTTCTTTGCAAAAATCCCCATTCGGCTGTTACACAGCTTGCTCATTTCGGAAAAATAAGATTGGGTATTAAAAGGGCCCGGTACCTGCAATGTTTACATCTCTGCCTTCGGTCCAGTCTTTTAAAGCATTTTTTTTTTGCCCTGCAGCCCCAAAAGTTGCTAAACCACAAAACATTTCTAATCTATTTTTTTTTTTTAAGTAGTTGAACCATACAGTATAAAGCTGGGGGAGAGGGGGATTTTTAGCGGCAGTTAGAGGTTGGGTTCTTCCTTGACGCGGCCGGAGCGGGAGGGGAGACAGAGAGACGTGCGGCTTTGGAGCTGGCCCGACACACTTGGGAACGCGTTTCCTTACTCCACGCATCCTCGTCAGGCGGGGGTGTGTGAAGAAAATGATAAAGGACTGGGCCAGGCAAGAGAGACTGTCCCCCCCCCCTGGGTGCCGCTAGAACGTGGGTGCGGCATTCCGAGCCTCAGGCTTCCGAGGGCCATCGTGTTCTGAGGAAGCGGCGCAGAATGCCTGGGTTTCCAGCTCCAGGCCCCCGGTCCTTGAAGCCACCCGAGAGGGCCACCCTGCATGGTCCTCAGGAGGAAGACACACCCCACTGTGGAATCACCCGGGCTCGCCTGTCTCTGCTGGTTGTCAGCAGCCGTGGAAAGTGAAAGTTGGTCAGGATTTCGACGAAAAGGCTAACTGGAAAACATTTCTACTCCATTTTCTAAAGCTGAATTTTCTCATAAAAAAAAAAAAAAAGTCATCCCTAGAAAGAAGAGCCTACAGTGTGATTCTAACATTCGGGGAAGCAACTTTAGAAGATTTCTTAATATAGCCTAGTGTGTTTCCCTGCCTCCCTCCCTTCCCCCAACATGTGTAAGTCATAGAGAGTGGGGTCAGTGATGTGTGTGTGTGTCCAGCACAATTCAAGGCCAAGGTCATGGGGGTCTTGGGAGCCTCAGAGGCCCTGGCAGAGCTGCTCCAGCGGCCCCAGCCCAGCCTCGCCCAGTGTGGCCTGTTTCCCCTTCCTGGGCAGTCCAATCCAACGTGGAATGGAGTTTCCTGGGAAGCAGAGCACACGAGGAACTTTTGAATTTACCAATAGCATAAAAAGTATATATATTTTTATGACAACGGGCAAGTTTCAATTGGTTCACAGAAATGGCGAGATGTGACGTCAAGGGACACTGTAGTTAGACTGCCAAGGCCGGCTGGGGTGGTGGGGGGAGACAGGCAGAGAGATATTGGGATGGGGCCCAGGAGGCCTCCTTTCTCCCGGGCACCCATTGCAGGCGTCTGAGGAGAGCCAGGCCCATCTGGCTCTGAGGGAGGGCATGCCCCGTCAGGGAGATGGGGCACGGGCATAGTGACCCTGCATTGGGGCCTCCAAGCACCAGAAGCCTACACCTTCCCCTCTACAGGGAAACCGCTCAGGCGGCCCTGCGGAGCCAGCAGGAAAAGCTTCTGTGGCCTCCCTGGCATTCTAACGGGTGTCTGGACCCTGGCCAGTCTCGACCCCCAGAAGGGGCACGGGAAGGAGCCCGGGACAGCCGCAGCAGCGCCGTTAGTCCTCTGGCTCCGAGAGCGCAAAGCTGCGGCCTGTCACTTCTCCCCGCAGCTCCTGCGCCCTGGGCCTGGGATGCAGGAAGTTGTTTCTGCTGGGAAGGAAGAGCGCGAGCCTGGAGCTGGGCAGCGGCTCGGGCACGGTGCCCCCACCCATCCCACGCCTGCCCGGGCACCGTGCGCACCCCTTCCATCCCTGGGCACAGGGCGCCGCGCCGCTCCACTTCACCAGATCCCTGCCCCCTGCCCCCGACTCCACTGGGCACCGAGCCCCTCGCTCTGTCGGGCCCGAGGTATCGCCCTGGCACGCGCCTTGCCCCTGGGAAAACCCGTGGCCACCGACCACCCCGAACTCTGAGCCCGAGCCTAGTCTAGAGCTCCAGGGCGCACACTGGCCCCCGCGAGGATCAGCCCGGCGACCCCGGCTGCTGTCCGCGGCGCG